ACTCTTTCCTTAATGCCTTTTAAATAATAAAGACAGCAGATGACATATCAACACAGCTTTCACCCTTCTCCTGCAATCCCACTGTCTGCATTTTAGGCAAAATTCCATTAGCTCTATAAGTGCAAATTTAGCCCCGAAAGATACGTATCTATTTTAAGTTCCCACCGATCAGAATAAACACACCAATTTGGGTCCCATTCAAAATACAAGCATCTGGATGTCCTGACCTTTCTCGATTCTGAATCATGAGAAATCCACCTAATCACCGCTTCAAAGACGTATCTTTCGTTTCCAACGTTAAGCTTTTCCATCGACAGCACTTCTTTCAGTTTTTGAGGAGTCAGTTCCAAGAATTCCTCTGTGCTGCTGACATCTCGAAAGTGAGTTTCCAGATACTCTGAGGCAAGGTAGTGAACATGATGCAAACAATAATGCAGTGCAAAGTCCCGAATACCAATACAGTTCTCAGCAGCTATGCAACCTTCTAAAAACTCACAGCAGAGAGTTTTTAAGTCTGTAAGCAGCAGGAGATCAGCTGCCTGTACCACATCTTGGATAGTTTCTTCATTTAGCCTGATCTGCAAGAATGAATGTAGAAGTTACAGCTACTATCACCCATTTGTTTCACGACACGTCCGCATTCATTACACTCATTCTCAATGGCCAAAAAAAGGAGTATTAATGCCAATGCAAAAGTCATGAGAAATTGATATGACTACCACACGTTTATAAATTAAAACAGGGATGGAAAGGAAACCTTCCTGACAGAAGGTGTCAAGCAGAATTTTGTGTCTGAAGGAACCACCAATGAATTTTACAGCAATAAGTAAATCATTTTTTAAAACGCATGTCCAGAAGATCATTTCAAGCCACATCTGCCTTTTCTTTTTCTGCTGAATATTAAACAAATTCAGCAACCTCAGTCTGGTTCTGAATAAACTGGACACACCAACTTTAATTTCCGCTAAGGCTACTGGCAGGAGGATCCGAAGGGGGCACCCTCAGCAACAAGAGATCAGAAAGCGAGGCAGGAGGGTCAATAGGGAGGATGTCTGATGTACTGGTATGTTCAGTGTTATGTTCAATCTCTTTCACAGCTGTCAAAGAGTGCATGTTTTAAAGTAGGTTACTGAAGGTAGCCACAAATGTTAATAAAAACATTTGGTATGACTCAGAGCTCTCCCGTCTGGCGTGAGCAGAGCAGAGCCAGCTCCTGCAGAGGCTGTTGCCTCTACTTGACACGCACACCCCCAGTGTGACATACCACCTTGCACAGGTTTTATCACAGAGCTTTAAACCTTGATAAGTTTATCTTTCAGGACAGCACTGTTAAAACCCAGATTATTTTGCCAAACGAATTAGTTTCTGTCTAGTTTTCTTTAATACCATACCTGCCCACTGAAGATGTAATCTAGTATCTCTTTCATGATGTCAACAGATATTCCTTCAAGTTCAATCTTGTACGTTGAGCCATCATCCTTTGGAGGATTGTAATTCAATTTTGTTCTAAGAGAGGAGAAAGGGAGAAAAAGAAAAAAAGGTCTCGTCCTGGACATGGCTTGCTCTTTGTTTTCTGAAGAAACAAATGCTAGCTATGGATCACTTCATCTCTAAGAGAGATGTTGAACCCTTACAATATGATTTGAAAATTGTCTCTCTTGAATTAGCATGAAAAGGATGCATGTGTGGGCTCTAATACTGCTCATCACATCTCCAAACTGAACAAATACATTAGCATTGCAAACTACCCGTGGCATCAAAAAGCCAGAGTAATTTTTTCCCAGCTCATTCATCACAAGCATTCAAAATCTTCACTCAGAGCTTCAAACAGAACAGCAGCTCTGCTGACAGATGAATCATGAGACTCTCGTTTGATAAAGGTGAAAAAAAAACCAAAACAAAACAAAGAGCACTTTACCAAGAAAAAAATAATCACAGTGAGCAGATGTGATCAGAATATACACTAGCAGCACAAATATTTGGATTGCATTATCAGCCTAATGCTATGCCTGGCTGTAACCAAACTGTGCACTCACAGTTGTGGGAAACGGCCCATGCTCTGCTCAGCTGAGCTTTAACATTCACCTACATCACTGAATGCTTCACTGATGAGCAATTTCTTCAGAAATATCAGGAAGGGTTTGATGTGCCTTTGAACTGGGTAAAAAAGATGAGGAAATCATCATAATACAGCAGAAAGGTTTGCCTTCTATCATCTCTTCGTGCAAACGCTTTTTCCAGGAAAGCCAGCTTTAAGTGTTGAAAAGGGAGCAGTGCCCACCAGTCCAAGGAAAACAGAGACAAGAGCTAATAAAATGTAATTTTGAACGTCTTGTCTCTGTGCCTTAGGCAATCAAGAATACACTACATACAGAACAGAAAACTAGTTTCACTGCCTCTGTGTGTGTGTATATAGGTATCTGTATCGTAGCACATTTAAATAAAAGCCTTTTAAAATGTTTTTATATTTATTTGAATATACTCTTAGACAGAATTAGTTTCTTAATGTGAAAAGCTGTGGCTTTGCTAAGCTGAAAGTGTCCCGTTTGTTGCAGTCTCCTGCTATTCATACTCACACCAAGCAAACAGGACTTAGCTAAGCACAGGTTCTGCTTCACTTACTCATATCAGAATAAATTCGTTTCTCGTAAAATAAGATATAACTCACAACAACTAAAATCCTAGCCTATAAGGAGCTATTTTTAAGTGTGAATAAGGATGGTAACTTTAGCCATGAGGTTAATCATATTCGTGGTCTTATTTCCACATTGCTTTTCTAGGCTGCAAGAGACCCACGGCCAGTGAGCAGAGCACAGAGGTAACGCTGCTCTGATGCATACCCACAGCATCTGAAGCTAAGCTGCCTGGCTCTGTTTGTACAGCACAGGTGATAACACAAATAAGAACAACAACAACATAATATGGATTAGGAAACTGTTTCTTTACTAAGACTCAGAAGGCAATTAGAAAAGTTATTCCAGTAACATATGTGCTGCAATAGCAGACATACAGTTGCAACTTATCCCCCTAACATTTCTAAAATGAACATTCAGCTCAAGCAATCCTGTACAATGCACATCTCAACTCGCACCACCCCTGCCCACGTGGAATGCACACTTTTCATGCCTGAAACGCCACATGAAAGTAAGAGCACACGTACAGAGTAACACGTGTTTTCAACTCTAACCCAGTATCAAGGCCTACCCAAACTATCTCAATTTTAATTGTGCCAACTACACTCAAGGTTTGGGTTTCCTCATTTGTAAGGAAAGCTGCATCTTGTTTCCTGGAACTGAATTGTGTTTTCTGTTAAATTAACATAAAATGTATTGAGGTTTGCATCATCTGGCTCCCTCCACCAGAAACGAGACAGTAGCTGGATCTCAGACGTACCAGGTACCTATGGGTAGGTGGTACGGTCAAACACAGAGCGGCATCTATACAGAACCAGGACAGTTCAACGCACTGCTGGTTTTAAAACAGACACAAGGCATATAATAAGCATGTTGCATGTCAGCACTAACGGCAGGATTAGGGAAAGGACTAGTGCTATTTATCACTGACTTCCATCTCAGCATCACCTGTACACACCCAAGCTAAATCACCTCTTGCACGGACTTTACGCTGACACCTCCTAGTAACAAGAAAGTGTTGTTCAGAGTTTTTGGGTCTTATCAGGCTAGATGTTCTAATTACTGCACACTTCTTCAAGCATCAACAGTTGTTAAACTGAGAATAAATCAATCAACAACTGATGCAAGCCCAAAACACAAACTCGCAGCAGAAAAGTAACCCTGAGAACTAATCAATTGATTTCAAAGTTAGATATATGGAAGCAGGCAAATACAATACTTACCTTATGCAAATACATCTCAGTTCAGACTAAGCTTTATTCCTATCACCTGTCACACTAATTTAATAAACTATTAGGTTATTTATTTTGGTACACAGATTTCTGAGCTATGACACATGAACCGTTCCCAAATGGCAGCTGGAGGTGCTTCCTGTTGCTCACATCAAGTACCGCAGGGTGAATACTGGCTGCTGGGAAGAGGAGAGGTAAAAACATGATGCGAAGACACACTATAATCAAGTTTGGGTCTAGAAAAGTTTAAGACAGAAAACTGCAAGTCTAATGTGGAAAGCAAGCTGAAGGAGGAGAAAACCGTAGGCGGGATGTAAGCGGAGGGTAAGGTGCCATGCCCTCTCTTGCATCACCTGCACCAGCTGTTCCTGCGCCCGCACCTCGCTTGCAAACTGAGCTCTGAGCATCCTTGGCGTGACACACACCACGGACAGAGAACTGTGTTTGTCCCCAGTTCAGAAAGGCAGAGCCAACAGCATGTTGTGAAACACTTAACCCTGGTCCTCTATCAACTTTAGCTTTAGAAAAAACGTTTCCAGCTATGCTTAAGCAGAGGTTTTTCCAATCTGTCAGTATCCCAGGAAGGAGGATGTTTACTTTCCATCATGTTCTTCCTCATGGCGCTTTATTCAGCCCATGATTTGTGTGGCAGAAAGCTGGAAGTGGCAATCAGCAAGCCAAGGTGCAGAGATGTGCCCAGCTGCAGCGCGGCTGCTTCCAACACATCCACGTGACAGCTTCCTACCGAACATTTCCAGTTACTTTAAAAGCACTCTAAGTTGCCAAACCACAGCAGAAAAGGCTGCCTCAGTCTTCCTTAATTCAGATTAAGGACCAGAACATCAAGACTTTGAAGGAAATAAAAACCCCACAGTCAACCAGAAAAACCCACGCAGCTGAGACGCATACAGAGCTGTGGGAAACAAAACAAGGCACCTTCTTCCTCCAGTTGTCTTAAGTAATTTAATTTTGAGCAGCTTGACTCCATACATTTTTTAAACAATGTTTTCCATTTTTTAATTAAGCTGCTCATCAATGTAAGTGGAAATTGCTTCTAGTAACACAAATAGTGTTATATAAATGTAGAACATCCACCCCAAACTCCTGGACCTGGTCGGAGACACTGCTCCGCACATACTACACCTTGAGTGACTGGCATAAGGACTACTGGGTTTATGCTGTGTTTTGATTTGTGTGTGTGTGTGTGACAAACCTAGAATCTGCTCTTCCACATCACTTAAGGAACACACTCCTAGTGAGTCATCTCAAACATCACCACATAAGGCAGAACGAGGAAAAAAATCCCAATACCTCTTCTGTATAGAGAAGCAACAATATAAGGAAGGTAAACTGTTAAACTGAAAACAAGGGCTTAAGAATAAATGTTGCTATTGCTAGGAGTCACAATTCACATCTAATAGCATAAACTAGATTAAAATAATGAAAAAAGGTACATTTAAGACTGCCCATAGTTCTTGTTAACATGAACTATGGGCAGTCTTAAGTGTAAGATGGATATTCCAATTTGCCTCTCATTTCAAAAGAGCAAAACAAATAGTTTCAGCCTCACAGCCAGGTCCCTGTGAGAGCACTGTCGTGGGACAGTTAAGATGCATGGGAAGCACGTTGGGACACATTCCATGTGTCTGAAAACTTAATTTCTGTACATGTCACAGTTGACAGTTTACAAGAGAAGGAATAATAATTTTTAAAACCCAACCAACCAAAACAACAAACAAAATGAAAACAAAACCAAATAACTCAGCCACCACCAATAAAGCTTGATTTGCTGAGTCAGACATAGTTCTGCGGCTACACTTTTATCTTTAAAAACCTCTGCCTTATTTGAGAACTATTATGAAAAGATAACCCCTGTTATTTCCACAACGGTGACATAAGTTATGAAGAGAACGACGCTATAAGTCTTGGAGTGCTTTAATCCTTGAAGTGCTGGCACATTGGTACCTAAACAGGTAAAGAAAACATCTGTCTGCAAAGACTGCACCTTTGTAAATGAGAATACCTGGGACCACATTCACCTCAAGCAGGTTTACGATACTTACAGTGAACAACAATGGAAAAAACTGGGAAATAAAAGACAGACGCGTTGGTTTTGATGCTTTGCCACACACAACTTTTACCTGCTCCAACGTCGGCGCACTGCAAACGCAGCAGTTTGCTGACCTACTTGTGCTGTGTAGCAGGGTGTCAGGAACAAAACCACAGGAGCCGAGAGGGAACACTTCTCTTTTTGAAAGGACCTGGCTTTCCAAATTAATGATTTTGCCCCAGATGAACCATAAGAGCCAGTCTACACAAGCTCTGCCAATACTGCCACCCTAGCAAACCTTAGTATTAACGTAGCAAAGTCATCGTTCCAAACCAAGGAGTAATAAAATGGGGTTTTCATCATATATCTTTTACGTGCACCAGTGTTTTGGCTTTCTCCAGAGAGCATTAGCACTTTAAAATGAAGTTGTGCCTCCAACAAATGTTTCCAGCAAAGACATGCACCAAACCTAAACCATGCTCACAGGGGTGACTCAGTCCAAAAATGACAAGCAAGCACTTTCAGATTTTGCATCAGTAAGGAGAAAACTTAAAAATTCTGCTTTTGATGCGTACATAAGGTCAATTTAGT